CAAAGCAAGAACTTCAACATCTACGTGCCAAAAACTGGCCCAGTCTAATAAAACAAATGGAGGAAAAGAAGAAGAAAAAAAAAACTCACGATGATATCTCTTCGACCACCTAACTCAGACTTCAACTCATTGTCAAGAGCTTGCAAGAATCTAGTAGCATCACGTTCGTCGCCGATCTGAACGAATTGGACGCCGAGTTGGGTAAGTGGGAACCGGCCAAGATCGAGACGGTCGGAGAAGCCCGCCAAGGCGTGTGCCAGGGTGTCTGGATCATCCCCCTCTCCATTGGTGATCACGATCAGGTTCAACGGCTTGATTGGCGCCCTATTTGTAGCTCTAGCTTCTTCTAATCGGTTCAGGCTTTTTTTGTTTGTGGGTCTCATAATCAGTTTTTATCTTCTTCTTAACCTTATGAGATTTATTCTTTCGATTCATGGAATCAACCCAACTATACCCCGAGTAATTCTTCTATTCTGACATCTGTGGGCGTACTCTGTCCCACAGGCTGGACTGTTCGAAATAATTGAGTGACCTCGGCGGCCGAGGTGGCGTTACAAAGATGTTCGTCGGAACTGAATATTGTGATGATCAGATTCAGACGGATCGGCAGTTTAAGGTTCAAAACTCTTCTTCTTTGTGTGGATAGAGATATTAGACTGACTTCATAAAATAGACATCGATTCCATCTGTATAGATAAAGAATAATCGTCAGTGGTTGTGGAAGAAGAGAGAGATAGGGATAGAAGGGGGTGGAAGGACGGACCACTGTCGTATTTCACAAGGGTATCAGCTAAGCCAGCGACGGCGACGGCGGCCTCGTTCCAACGATTCTGTTGGCTCATCAAAGCACTATCGTCTATCAAGAGCACAGTATCATATCTGGCCAAGATAGCCAATTTGTCTTCGCCAGAAGAAGGATTGGTATACGAAAGCGGAGAGGCTGGGGTTTGGCTGAGAAGGCTGTTTAAGGCCAAGGCTGCCCCCGATCCTATGACCAAACCTCCCAGTCTTTGATGCTGACTGAGTTGTGGGCCATCCGAGATGGTGTGTGAGTGTCGAGGATTGTGCGATCGGTTGGGATGGATCGACAAGGATTGCGAGCAGCTGAGAGTTTGTCTAAAGGGGCTGGGCTCGTTCTAACTCTCCAGACACAGTTCTTGGATACTTAGCTTGCAGTAGTCCAACTATCTAGATTGAGAATATTGCGGCTGTAAAAAATGGATTATTCAGATACCAGTCCACATGAGATTGTCATTATCCATCCCACCTGAGAGGACTGGCCGCTACCCTCTAAGGGAGTAGCTCGCGTGTGCGTAAGAGCGGGCTTAGACAGTGATTTTGGCGGGGATTCAGTCGGCCGCAGGAACCGCCGGTTTGGGGTGAACTCCCAGCCGAAATTCCCCCCAAGGCCGCTCAACTTCAAACTCAACCTCACCCACCCTTTGGTTTCCTCCAAATCCACCGATACTGAAAAACAGTCAGCCGACGATTCAACCCCTCCAAGCGCTATTTTTGTTTGGTGATTGCGAGTACAATCTAATAATTTCTCCGGTGAGTGATTGTGTCGTTTTCCTTATTCTTCCACTCTCAGGTACTTATACGAATCACTCAACAGACCGATGGTGCATAACTATGGAACTTTTTCAGGCTATGTAGATCCCCAACCGTATCCAAATAACAATTGTGATCACCAACTAATGGATGCTGAGTTCCAGACGAACGAAAGCCTTCAAAACTCGTTTTCTGGCGTGAATAATTCTGGATTCGGTCCTGGCGATCCAAACGTACTGTTTAACCAAATGGCAAGCAATAGCACCTTGGCCCCGGACCCAGATCAGATGAACCATACTGCGACGCAGGGGCAACAAAACCCTACTGGCGGGGGAACGACTAGCCAAACATCAACCACGACGAGTTCAGCAAATGCGCGTCCATTCAAGAAGCAGAAGCCTCGTAAGAAAAAATCAGACATCCCAGCACAAGTTTCTGAAAATTCGACATCGAACGAGGGTCGCGAGGGTCGCAACCCAACCACCAATACCACTGCATCAGACCCCCACCCTTCTAGTAACCGTCCACGCGGAGAAGCTACCACATTTCAAAATGAAGATAACCCAAACCTTTCAGTCTCTCGCAACCGACCATCTCTCCCAAACAATCTGATGAGTAGCCTGCAGAATGAAACTCTCCTTGGACTTCGAATCGCTCAGAACACCGTTGGTCAAAACAAACGAATCACCAATCAAATTAAAGATCAGCTCAAAGAAATCACCTTAGAATATCAACGCAAGATTCACCTTCTAGCTTTAGAGCATAAGATCCGATCAGAGCTTCTTTTCAAATGGGTGGGTGTGTGGAACAAGGTCCGAGGCCCCAACAGGTTCAATAACTTCTGCCGGTACGCTGCAGAAGCTCGAAAACTTTTTGATTCAAGTAAGTCCTGTCTGAATTGTCATCTGTCATCAATGCATCTCCCAATCATCTGCAATATTCACAATTTCCTTCCTCGTTCTTTTTGGGGTCCCAGAGCTGCTACCCCCTGCTGAGAGAATGCAACAGGTTGCTGAACGATGGAGGCAACTTGACGAGGATGAACAATTGAAGTATAACGACTGGGATTTCATCAACTCACTTCGTGAAAAAATGGGACTGAAACCTGTCGAGGATCCTGAAGAGATTGAGGATGAGGATCAAGAGCAGGCAAGGGAGCTGGAACAAGACACTACAGGTGGGCCAAAGAAGACCGATGCACAAGTTCTTTCTCATTGTAAAGCTTGGGCTAAGAAGGCAGTCACCGATGTAAGTCTGACCTTTCCTTTCACATACAGCTAACACAGGAAAGCTTGCGGGTTCGCGAGCTGGAAAATTACGACCCAAAAAAATTACGACCTCATGCAGGGTCCTGTACATCTTCCAAAGCTTCTGATTATTCGGACGTACAGCCAGGCCAGTGGCACCGATTGGACCCAACTGGCCCCTGTGGGGGGAAGCTCTGCCACAGAAGGGCCTCGGGATGGAGGGAGATAGCCCTGAACTTTTCATCAGGATTCTGATGGTGTTACTCTCATCACCTGAAAGTGAGTGACAAAAAAGATAGCCGATTTGATTGGAGGTGATCCATACGTACATGTCCCTGTATTCTTCTAAACCTTCCAGCTGTTGTCAGTAGATTTTTATTTTTTATTTTTTATTTCTGACATCGGAGCCCGCAAGCTTTCCTGTGTTAGCTGTATTTTCACCTCACATTTTGCTGACAACTGCCTTCAAAATCAAGATGAATTTTTTCAGCACACAGTACTCAGTTGAATCATTTTTGGTTCTTGCATCAACCGATATCAAAGGGCGTGTCTTCATCACCGGCTCGAGTTTTCTTGGTGCAGATTACATGCAACTTCTCAGCACCAAGGCTAAGAAAGCAAACGACAACGATCCGTGGAGGGGGTTCCGAGTGTGGGCTGCGGGTTTGGGGGTGGAGGCAAACTTGCATGACTTGCCAATTGAGACGGTCTGTAAGAAACGAAAGCGAACTGCGATTGAGGTGACAACATCAAATGTACCACGAAAAGGAAAGGGACCTTGGGACACGGGGCTCGCCAAAACAAACAAAAGTTCCATGACCACTCAGCTCAAAGAGATTCTAGGTAAGATGTTTTTCTTCATCTCCAGACTTGAAGACTTGATGGTCGAGCTGATTGATCTATGAATTTGACTAGCAAAAGCTTCGAACGGAGTTCGCACTAGTGGTTGGCCAGGTGAGAAGGCTTGGGAGGTCTTCAAGAACTTGAAGTTGAAGGTTAACATTGCTCCGGAGGCAGTGAAGCTAAAGGAGGAGGATCTGGTGGGAGTACAATTTAAGAATACAAGCGATGGAAAAGTCGACATTATCCTTGAGGCCATTTACAACAAGTGGCTCACTGTAATCCCCATTGATGAAGGCCGTACCAACTTGGAGACTACCTCTTCAAACACCTCTGCAACTCGAAACTTGGCAGCTTTAAACAATCCGATTGCAAGTGAACAGGCAATTGATCCAAATCTCAATGAAGCAAGTTTGAATGATAGCACTGCCACATCTACTTGATTTTATTGTCATTTCCTTCTTTTCTCTCGAAACTGTGATTGCTGTTATTTTCCTTTTTCCTTGGTTACTGAACCTGTTATGTGCTTGTACTCCATGTCATATTAGTTATAGTTTCTTATCATATATACATGGTGACTGTCTGCTTTTTACATATGCACAATCTAGCTAGATACAACAAAATACACCAGCTGTATAGTGGTTCATTCAACATTCTTCTAATGCTGATCCTTTATTTTTTGCTTGCTCACAAAATAATGTATCAGCATTTCTAAAACTACACGTATTGGAAATCTAAAATATGATATGCCTCCTTTCAAATTTTGCAAATCATTTCCATTCAAACCATCTGAATGGTGAGATGTTATAGTAGGAAAAATTGACTTATGTATACCCTCTTTAGTTCCTTAGGAATCAAACAATAGGTGTTGGTATGAGAAAGAGACTGATGGAGAGCACCTTAGTTGACCATTTTCAAAAATGGTCATTGATAGCAAAAAGGGACTGTTGAGAAATATTTTGGTTTGAGGGCATGATTTCTTCAGAATTGGCAAGAACCTACAATTAATTCCAACAATACATGGGGTTTGAGGTTTGGACACAAAATCCAACAGTAGGAAAGAAAGACTGGTGGGTAAATTGTTTTTGTTTGAGGGGAGATGCCTTCAGATTTTGGTGAGCAGTCAAATACAAATTTTCTTTTCAAAAAATTGGTTTTCATCCTTTTCAATCAAAAGATTGCTGAGATGGTATAAGATTTCAACACAAATGTGTGTTAGTAGGAAAAAGGACTGATGTGTAACTTTATTCTGAGGGGTTCAGGCCTTCAAATTTGGAAATGTTGGAACACAAATATTTTCAGATACCCATAGGGAATCATAATTTCATTTTTGGAATGCTTGAAATACATCCAGTGAATGTGTTTATTCAGATGATAGGTGGGTGCACAATATTAGAAAGACCATGTCAGAAACTGAGACACTAGGCCAAGTGTCTACAAGAGAATGTAACTCTCTAGTTACATAATAATAAATAATATTACTGTGTAAGCAGTAAAAACAGCAGCATTGATAATAAAGAGTTGTGTAAGTAAGAGACAGAGATGGAGAATGGAATAAGGTGAAGTAAGGATTGGATGAAAAGGTGGTGGATGTATGTCTGTGTAGTTTTTCTTCATTTGTGTATGTGCTTTTGGGGTTGAAGTGTGTTGGCTCTATTTGAGAGGGAGAAAGGAGCCATGCATTGACATGGGATTATCTATCATCTGGTCAGAGGCACCATGGTCACATAAGAGACCAGCACTGACAGACCACATTTTGGAACACACTCACTGAAGGTATTTTGACCATTTCAAAAAAATTGATTTTGATTCTCTATGGTTATTGGAAAATATTCCATTCTTTGGAATGATTGAGATGCATCCAGGGAATTTGTTTTGGCATGTGGTCATGCTGGTAATAGATGTACATATAGAATGCCCATGAAAATATTCACTGAACGTACTTAAATCATTCCAAAAAAGGAATTTTGATTCTGTATGGTTATTGGACAAGATTCCATGTTTTATGAATCTTTTAAACACATCAAATGTTTTTTAAATGGATTAAACACATTCAGCAAATCTTTTACAACATGTGGTAATTTTAATATTGTGCACCAACCTATTATCAGAATGAACAATTATTCATCTCCTTGTATCCTAGACACTTATTGAGTACAAAGGATTGATAGTTCATAAAATCAGAAAGTAAGCAAATTACAATGGTATTGATCTCCTAAATTCAATATAAGTCCCAAAAAAATTTATTCATGAGTCATGTTTTTCTACCAACACCCACTTTTCAAAGCACCTACACTCCTTGTATCTTGGGCATCTTCTGAATGCTGAGAATATAAATTGTTGAATGCTTTCAAATTATTCATGAAGGCTCTTTTATCATGCGAAACATGTGAGTTTTCCATTAAAACCTACAGTTTTCCAGTGGTTTAGCAACAACAGATGAACAACAGATGGTTTATGATGCAACAGATGGTTTATGATGAGCTCCACAAGGGGAAAGAGAGCCCAAAATTTGCCACGGTAAAATTTGCACAAGTCTGCAATTCAATCTTCTGGATTAAATTCTCATCAAAAGAACTACTCATCTGCCTCCTTCCACCTCAGCTTCATCAAAAAAAAAATCAAACCTACTCAGCTCTCTCCCTACTGGCCTAACAATGCCACGACCAAGCTCTGATAACCTTTTCACTGAGCAGCGCTCATCATACCAACCTAGGCCTCCCCCTCTTGCAGATCAGCTTCGTGATTTGGAAACTCTCCAAAGGATGCAGACCGGAACCGACCCACGCTTGTTGATCAATCCCGACATTGTTTTGGCACACCAGCGACTAGAAGAGGACATACATCGCCAAATGAATCCAAATCCAGCAGATGAGGACAACAGGCCTGAAGAAAATTTTAATCACTACGATCCGCAACCAGAAGCCCATGAAAATGATGATAGTCTAATTGATCAATTGAATGCACATCACACCTCAGTAGATCAGCGAAATCGACATCAGGCAACAAATAACCACTGGACAGAATTGATTCCAACCCTCCATGGAGCATACCTTTGGCTCCAAGTCAAGACAAAGAACTGGACAAGCTCCAATGCTTTCGAAAACCTTTCATCGGACTTTTGCGAGTGCAACCAGTTTAAAAATCGAAAAGTGGACTTGATCGATTTGAATAGTAAGCTGGGTCACTCTCTATGTTGATATGATGTCTAACTGATTTAAGTTTCTTGTTGGGAGGTCAAAAACGAGAGTCCATTTCTTTCTGCCAGTGCACACCTGATATACTCCACCTACTTGCTCGTGGATACATTGGTAGTACACCAGTAGCCCCACAGACGGCTTTTTCAATCAAGTTGCTCAGTTTCCACAATCATTTGTGGCAGTGGTGCAATGTAGGTACACTACCTTTCATGAAGGCAATGCAGGCATGGCTGGAAGTAGAGATGGTCGCGGATAATCCGCTGCGGATATCCGTTATCCGCTGGCGGATACCCGCTGGTCCCAGCGGATACCCGCCAGGGGGTGCGGATTCGGCTGCGGATGGCCGTTTCCCCCCCCCCCAAACCTGGCGGATAACCGCGGTATCCCAAGGGATACCCGGAGCCAATGGCCGGCT